GCGGCGGCGGCGGCGGCCAGCGCTGCCGTCACCTATGAGACGTGCTGGGGCTACTACGACGTGAGCGGCCAGTACGACAAGGAGTTCGAGTGCAACAACAGCGAGAGCGGCTACCTGTACTGCTGCGGCACCTGCTACTACCGCTTCTGCTGCAAGAAGCGCCACGAGAAGCTGGACCAGCGCCAGTGCACCAACTACCAGAGCCCCGTGTGGGTGCAGACGCCCAGCACCAAGGTGGTGTCTCCGGGGCCCGAGAACAAGTACGATCCGGAGAAGGACAAGACCAACTTCACCGTCTACATCACCTGCGGGGTGATCGCCTTCGTCATCGTGGCCGGCGTCTTCGCCAAGGTCTCCTATGATAAGGCCCACCGCCCTCCACGGGAGATGAACATCCACAGGTGAGAGCGCCGCCCGCGGTCCGCCCCGGGCTCTCCGCGGCCTCGCCCTCCTAACGGGCTTCCCTGTCCTTTTCCCTTTGGGCATCACCACACCCCCCCTGACCCTCTCAAGTGACTTTCACCGTCGCTTCTTTTACGTGCAGTCAATCAGAGCCCCCCCCCCCCCCACGTCTTCAGTCCGGGCTCCATGCTGTGGTGGTAGGGGGATTTACAGGGCAAAGTGAGAATGAGTTGCGTGCAGGGAGTTCCAAAGCGTAAGCATTTTACACATTCTGTCAGCCTGGGTGGGGTCCCAGTGTTTTCTTTTCGTGGCATGTGCGCACTGTGGTGTAGTCTCTTGTGGCAGTTAGTTTTCTGAGTCCAATCAGAGTGTCGTCTTCACTATGGAAAACTGACCAATGTCGGAACCGTGCTGAAAAGAATGCCAAGTGGCTCACTGTAGACTGGGATGTTCCCGGGCCTTGGGGCTGGGGGTGTGTGTGGAAAGGATGCCTCCTGCGGGAAGAAGGAATAAAGGTTTCTCCATTCCATGTTGACCAAGCACAGATGGTGTCTCTTCATTGCAACCTGCCGAGTGGGATGTTTTGTCTTTCCTGCTGAGACTGGAGGACTTGTTCTTTTAAACCCCATAGGCAGAACTGAGTTAACGTTTCTTTATCTGTATTGAACCTGGTGGGGCATCTTTGATTGCTTACCCTGCTTTGTCTCCTACCAAAACTTATGCTAAGAGCTCAAAATATGCTCAACCATGGTTCCACCCTGACTGCTGCCCACTACACCACCCCACCACTGTTCTGGTTTCCAGTGAGTGCTTGGGGAAGTCAAAGTCAAGGGGATGATAGGAACCCTACCCAGCCTCTCTTCAGAACTCTAGGAATGACAGGGGATGCAGAGTTAGCTCTGTTTCCAGTCCGCTCATGATGATAGATGGCTGGATGTGGTTCAACAGCACCCTTTCAGGGAACAAACCCTGCCCCAGGAAACGCCTCCTTTTCTGGAGCATGATGTGGGTATCGCCCTGGTAATCACAACCACCCCCTAGACCATTGTGCATGAGCCAGCCTGGCAGGCCCCACACTGACCTATCCACCTCGAGCTCATCTCCACATACTGCTTGTTATTCTTGTAAACTGAAAACCTCCTTCCCTCATTGCTGTGGACATTAATCACCCCTGCTTTGCTGAAGAGAGAGAAAGAAAGGTAGATAGAAATTTCTAGCGCTGATTTTCTTTTTCCTGCTTGATACTGCGGGTGTTAAGAAAAGATGATACTCCCTGGCAGGTTTTATTGAGTCAAATCCACAACTGGTGGGTACTCCAAATTCAGGTGCTGGAATTAGGGTGATTCCAAGAGAAGACCTGTTTATAAGCCTCTCTCATTACCCTAAGGTGCCACCACTCTCACTTTCACCCCCACCTTATCTCTTAGGTAGTGCAGTTTTACTTAGCATCACATCTTGTGTCTCGAGTGGCCCTGAGCACTGCTGGGAGAAGTGTGAGAAATAGTCTATGTCAGTCCTGGCTGTCAAACATGGAGGAAAGTTGGGATGTGGTACCATGAGCTAACTAAGGGCAAAGCACTCTTTCCTTTGAGTCTAATCTGGCAAAGAATTAGCTCATCTAAGAAAGTAGAGAAGGAAGTGCCCAAGGGCAGCTGCTTTCCTGAAGCAGATGTACTGGTCCGTATCTTCTGTCCACCTCTGTCTCAAACTTGAAGGCTTTTCTCCTTCGTCTTTTCTCATGGCCCTGTCCTCTCATCAAACCTTCTGCTCTGGCCATGGCCTCTTGCTGGTTGATTCCTGCAAAACTTTCTTTGAATTTCTTCCTTCTCTGAGCAATTGCTTTCAGCATTCAGAGAAAGCTGCCCACTACCCTGACCCTGCCGCCTCATACAGAGCTTATTTGTCATTGCCTGAAATGATACCGAGGATGGTGTCCTCTGATGCGGACAGCAGACATCTTTGGATGCTGGCACTGGCATGTGACCCTGGAGAGGTCACTGTCCCTCTTGGTGTTTTTTCCCCTCCCCACCACACGAACACTCCCTATTTCAAATTAGGGTGATGTTGATGATGACACTATTGGGGCAGTTTCTCACTTGGAAAAGAAGTAACCATGGGAAGGGAGATGAATTTCAGGCATCAGAACATTATGCAAATATGGAATGTTTCTCCCTCAAGTTCACCTCCTGATTTTATTCAGTTCACAGCCTCTCTTTCAGCAGCTGCAGTCTTGCCTGATCAGTGCTTTGGAAACCATCATATTGGTGCTTGTTGGGTAGGGGACAATGCCTGTCTGTGTGGGTGGGAGGTAGGGGGACAGAGTATAAGAGATCCATCCAGGACACTCCATGAGTGACCTTGGGCAGGTCAGGGAAACTCATCTTTCCATTCTGTGTAACTCTGGCATAGCAGTGTCCCATCTCTGTCTCTTGCTTCCAAGGCGTGTCAGGGTGAGTGTACACATTGATCCCAGCCTCCTGGGTGTGAGTGTGACCACCACACCTCTCACTTTGCTCACACCCTAGAAGCCATTGCTTGCCGGCCATTCTCGGGAGTATTTTTGTGCAGACTGTCTTGTTGGGGAATTTGGGTAGGAAGAAAGAGGGAGTGATAGAGAAAGAGGTTAATCTTTACACTGTAATGAGTTTTCCTTAGGGAACATGGGGAGAAGGAAGAATGTCTACTCTTCAGAGGTCAAGGGGGGGAAGTAGGATGTGCATCCTGGTACATATTCCTTGAAATAGTTCTGCAAAGACCTTTCTTTTCTGAAAAGAAGAGCTTATTTCAGCTTGTGATCCTCCCTGAAGATAGTAGTTGAACAAGCAGGGGCAGAGTCTAAGGGAGTTTCAATGAGAATGGTCTCTTTGGAAAGATGTATTTGTGGGGGTGTAAGAAAGGGTGAGAGAAAAGGCCATCTGCCTCCCCTCGGTGCTCCCAGGCTGGACACACAGCCCTCCACCTGCCCATGTACACACATTCCTTAGCATAGGACTTCCTTTCATCTTTCCACTCCTGCAGGGAAGAACAGATTTAGTCTTTCCTAGAAGTGAATAGACCTTGCTATCATGTTTCTGAGTGAGAAGTCAGTGTCTGTAAGGGAAGCTTTTAGCTCTCTGGTGATCTGAACAGATGAGCACCAAGTCAGACTAAGCCAGCTGAACCCCCTGGAGGAGAAAGATATGGGCATAGGGACCCAAGACAGTGTTGCATGCTGGATGTTGAGAACCCTGGGGTCGCCATGCCCACCTTTCCTAATGAACCCCATTTCCCACCAGGATCTCCACTTTCTTTTCCTCTCTTTTAAACTGCCCAGGATCGAGCTGTCTGTCCATAGGCATCCGTGGGTTTTTAAATTTCCTGAGTGGTTTCTCCACTGCTTCCTTGGAGCTGTTTATTCAGTGAGGGGCCACGAGTGTTCTCCGTGGGTGTGGGTTCTGCCCAGGAGTCTGGCTCTTTTTTGACATTCAGTTCCATGCTAGCTGTCTCATATCCAGACCTATTCCTTCCTCCTCACCCTGAGTTGATTCATTAGTGTCTTTGAGATAAGAATCATTCTGAGGGAGGAACTGTGTGGCTTTTTATAATGGCTAATTAACAGATGGGTCAGGAAACAATTAGGCTGCTGTAGACGCAGTTGGTGAAGTCAGGCTGCCCTGGGTCCTCTCACTGCTTGTGAGCAGGGTCAGAGGGGATGAAGGGATGTGGGCGGCGTGGTGGTGGGGGAGACTTAGGGGTGTGGAAAGTAAAGCCTGGGTGGGTATCCTCAGGAAAAAGGAAAAGTATTAGGAGCTGATTCCTCCACTTTTCAAAAGGGTCCTTCATCTTTGAGTCAAGGGAATGCTTTATTCCATTCTTTTCTCCCTCCAGAAATTAATTATAAACCCAGAGAACTCCTTTTTGTCCTCACAGGCCATGTAACTGCAGTAGCAGGGCCACTTTGCTGGCTGATTTACTGAGTTCTCTTCCTAGGTTCCTGGGCGATGAATCGTCAAATCACCCCAAACATTCCATTTTTTGAAGCACTGTGAGTACACTATAATGAATTGATCTAAACCGAGAGTCAACTTTTTTTTCTTTCTTCAAATGTAGCAGTTGGAAGGAAAGAAAAAGCATCTTGCCTTAGACTGAAGGTCTTAGGCTTGCCTGTTTTCCTTTTTCCTTGAGTGAAAAACAGTACATGTAGGGAAAGCAGGGAAATTGTGGAAGAATTTGAGGTTTATGGAGGAGGGGTTGGGGAAGGGCTCCAGGAAGAAGGAAAGGAGCAAAGCAAGAAAAAAGAGGAAAGCAATTGTATGCGAAGTTGATTGTCCCCACTAAAGGGACAAGGTGGTGTTGCCCAACCTTCATGCACCCTTTGTTGGGGGTTTGGTTTCATCTTGCAGAGACAGGCAAGCATTCACTTAACAAATGCGCCCTGCTCACCTTTCCTGGGCAGGATATGTTTTAAACTATAAAATGTAAGTTTATGAAGCGCGTATTGCCTTTGACACACGAGGCTAACAGGGTTCATTCTTGCTTTAGCAGGACAGCTGTGCAAATACTTTTCAGAAATCCCTGCATTTGACAATTTTCCCTGGTCACATTGCTCACTGTCTTCACATTTCTTCCTACCCTGATCCAAGCTCAGAAGGCCTGCATGTCTGTTTCTTTCTTTCCTCCTGCAACCCTGCCCAAGGCATAGAACATGTACATTTTGGGAAGTCAACTGCTAGTATACCAAGAATTTACCCACAGTTCTAGGCTGCCAAGACACACCTAGAGAAAAAAAGTTCAATTCATTGTTTTCAGCTGATTTGAATGAGAGATCTGATTGACTGTGCAGTCGATTCAGATCAATTGTGTAGGAAGCAGTGGTTAAGACAGCTGGAAAAGTGGGCCGATTGAAAGAGGCTGATTCACTGGTCTCAGACAGACATGCTTCTAGATCCAGAATATAAAGAAACTATACCAAAAGAAGCTTCATGCTTTCAGCTCTCCTGCCTGATTTCTCCAGGGGCTG